CAGGGTTGCCTTTATAGTAAAAAAAGTTATTTCTAGATCCATCTTGAAGTACAACATCGTGAGTGACAGGATCACATCCATACGCTTACAAGGAAGTCCAGTAAATACCACTGTCATTCAGATATATGCACCAACAACCAGAGCCAAAGAAGAAGAAATAGATGATTTCTACCAAGAAAAGGGTTAGCTTTTCAAATTTTCTTGAAAACACAATACTATGGTTTGTTTATGGGTATATAAATATATATGAAGGTGGCATAGTGATTAAAGTCCTCAAATGCTACCCAAAGTCAGTGGTTCAAACGCATTGGTCAGTCTTTGGGAGAAAGATGTGCTCTGCTTTTGTAAAGATGACAGTGTTAACACTGAGGAAGTTTTATTCTTCCCTATGAAGTTGCTATAAGTAAGAATCAACTCAAGTGGTGGGCTTGGGTTTGGGGAAGCTTGAATTAAAAAGTCTAGACGTAAACCCTTTACCTGTCATGCTTACTTTTTTAAAACAGCATGTGGAGAATTATTGTGAAATTAAGAATTACTAACATTAAAAACTTACAGCAGACTTGTTGAGGGTCTTTTGAAATAGTTTCATTTAGTTTGTATAGTAAGATCTGTACCTGTAATTTGTGTGTCCGTGGTGAGAATGCAGTTGATGTTTTCAGATATGACTATATGAGCACATTGCTATTATATAAAGAATGGTATCCTAAAAAAAAAAAGAATGGTATCCTGAAGAAATGGGACAAAGATGGGAATACTGTACAGGAAAAGCAGCAGAAGGAGAATTCAGTGTGAGTTTCTGCGGGATACAGTATAATAAAGACCAGAAGCCACACTCCTTTTACCGTCTTATCTGTGCCTAGAGCTCTTACAAGCCCCTAAATGGTGCAAGTGATTAACACACTCAGACACTAACTAAAGGTTTGAGGTTTTAGTCTATTCAGAAGTGCCTTGGAAGAAAGGCCTGGCAATCTACTTCCTGAAAAAAATCAGCGATAGAAATCCCTGCGAACCAGAACTCTGGCTCGCATGAGAGCTCCACAAATCAACCTCAACCCTCACGGAAACAGAATTGGATTCAGTTTTGGTTCTTGCAAGAAGTGAGTGTGTAATGAATGTGTGGCACTGCTAACTAACCATGAGGTCAGCAGTTTGAGTTCACCAGGCACTCTTCACAACGAATAATCTCTTTCTGATAAACATTTACTTCAGAAACACTATGGCAGGCTGCTGTGAGTCAGAATCAGACTACATGGTGGTGAGTTTGGGATTTTGAGTAAAGTGAAGATTAAACTCAAATATCAGTTTCTAGGTCTAGCCTTCTAATTCCCTAACCTGGTTGGGAGGCTGGTGGCTTAGTGGTAAGAAGTTGTGCTGTAACCTCTTGCAGCACTTCAAATCCACCAGCTGCTCCACAGGGGAAAGTTAAACAGTCTTCTCCCGTGTGATTTCCTGCCTCCAAAAACCGACTGCAGGGTCAGCTGTGGGTCGGTTCTGACTCAGCGGTACACAACACCAACAACTGCACATTAAAATCATGTGCAGCCGCTTCCTACAGTATAATTACATAGAATCAAGATCAGTTAAAGTGGGCTTCTTGGGACGTGTAACCGGAACATTCACATTTTAAACTTACTCAAGGCTCTAACCTTTTGTTAGAGAATTGTGTGGGCACATACATGCACTTTAACAGCTTTCCAGTTTTAACAATATCCTCTCTGCTCCCCAAATGAGATTGTTTCTTAAACTCAGCAATATGAGGTGGGAAAGAAAAAAAAATACTTGTATTTTTTTATTGAGTGATTCCAGTATTACTAATACCTTGTGTTTGATTGATTTCAGGCTCGACTGACCAAAGAACATCGCTGGGGAAGTTCTTTACTTTCCAGGAACCACTCCTTAGAAGAGGAATTTGAAAGAGCAAAAGCAGCAGTGGAGGTAACTTCCTTAAAGCTGGCTTTGTTTTCTGAGAATCACTCACTTAATTAGTGACGTCTAGTCATTGCCAATGTGTAGTGACGTCTAGTCATTGCCAATGTGTAGTGACCTCCATCAGTTTTCCACACCTGTAATTCTTTAGGTGAGGACACAGTCCACACTCTGCCATAGAGCGGTTAGTGAATTCGAATTGCCGACCTGTTGGCTAGCAGCCTAAGGCATCACATGCTATCTGACAGAGCCCAAAAATCGAACATCAGCCGGGTATATGTGGAATGGGTCTTAGTTTACCAACACATAAAATAGCCATGATTATGATTGTTAAAATGAGATTGTTATCAAAGAACCTTTGGTTTTCCACCAGAGATGCCTTACAAAAGTCACCTGCGTACTGATTCTGTTAGCTGTTAGCAGTGACTGTTTGAAGTTCTGTGTCAAAGAGGACTCGGGGCCCAGTTTGGGCTCCTCAATGGGTATAGTCATGGATCTACAATGTCTTTCTTTGGGTCACACTTGATGTTTTTCTCTCTCTACTACAATATCTGCAGTTACAGATATTGCTGCTGCTGGGATATAATCCATGGGCTTTCTTAACTAAGAAAGAGCCTGGCTGGGTTATTGTTAATCCATCATGCCTTGAACAATAGATTTTTACTACTAAGAGTCCCCAGTTGATGGTGGGAGGTGTTTGATTAACATTTTGTTGTGCAAATATGTCGGTACTCCCTCTGTTTTCTCCTTGAGTTCTGGGCTTCCAATCTGGTTTTTCCTGTCCTTCCTTACCTGCCCACCTTTGGTTCTGGCAAATGCTGCCCTGTTGTTCTGGCACAGAAATTGTTCTCTGAAGCACGTTCTTTGGGTTTTATATTTAAAGGCCCTGGTATTTGACACAAATGTGATCTCTGGAAGTCTCTTCAGTTTCAGACTAGAAGACTGGCCCAGGGCAGCAGTGGTAGGTTGCCCTCTAGTCTCAGAATATTGAGTCTGATCTATTTTGTTTTCATGATGAGTTTTGGTCTACTTTAAAAAAAAAAACAAACAAACATTTTAACCTGGACCTTCTATTATGATCTTCGTCAGAGTGGTCAGTAGTGGTAGCCAGGCGCCATCCAGGACTTCTGGTTTCAAGTTAGAGGAATCTGTGATTCATGTGGACAGGAGTGCCTGATGCATTTTTAATAACTTGAATCAATCCTTTGACTCCTATATTTCATTTTCTAACAACTGTAAATAGAAACAATAATAATTAGGACATAATGATGGAAGAAAGTTAGGAAGTAAATTGGTTGTATTTGCTATTGCTCAAATCCATTTTCTTCTTGGCTAAAACTGCACAAGTGAATCACAGATGCTGTCTACGATACTTATCAAGCCTTTGCTAGACTGCTATTTGAGAGGGGAAATTTTCACTGAAACAAAATATGAACTTGTTAGAGTCTGCACTTCTATTTCTGATATGAAATCTGGAAAATTGAAAATATCCTTGAAATGTGGTTCATTATGTGGCTATCTTACCACTAGAATTTGGATTAAATGATTGTACTATGGGAAGCCTTTCAGTAATTCTACACTTGAAGTTCAATATAATCATACTTGCAATTTAATATTAAAAGGCTTCTTTTTATTCTGAGAAATAATTCTAACCATAATTTCATATCGTCACTCAGAAACCCAATAACTCTTTTATCTCACTGTGGTACAGTCACTCACATTTCTTCTTTTAATTTTGACATTATTTTTTCATTTTTTTAAAAGTTCATGCATTTATTACTCTTGAAAAGTTTAGTTAAGACCAGCTGAGTCTGACCTGTTTTTCAAATGCATTGAGCCTGTATCTCAATATGCATTAAATAGGAACTACTGGGACTTTATTATTTAAGCATCAATTATGTGTAGCACACTGAATTAACATTGAAATTAGAATTTATTAGACTCCATTCATACTGAGAAAGACAATAGGCTCATATGTAAAAGAACCAAGCTTGGACCTAGCACCTTCTGGTCCACCCTGTGATAAAAATTTGCATTCCCATCTCAGAAGCACTGAATCAGAATCAAAATGCAGATGCAGAACCAGCTTATTCTAATTTGAAGTGCTGCACTAGACTGAGTCAATTACCAAGTAAGATATCAATAAAAAAGTGGATGCACATATATGCATAAATCACTTCATGTCATAGTTTTAGAGAGCTTTAAAGGCATCTGTCCCAACTTTCACGCACACAAAAATTTTTTTTTCTTAAAATGTAATTGACTAATTATCCCTGTTTCTATTTGAACACTCCTCATTAAAGGCAGGTCACTTCAAGAAAACTCATTACTGTCTTGGACAGTTCTAACCTTTCAAGTGCTCTTTCTTTATGTTATGCTGAAATTTGCCTTCCAGCCTTGCTTGGTCTATAATGTGTCCTCACTGAAGCAAGGAGGAATGAGTTCAGTGCCGGCTCCGTGTGGTCCTCACCTAGCCTCACCAAGTTTTGTCTTCCCGGCATGTCTTTGTCTCTCATGGGCATTGAGAATACTGTGCTGCAGTTCTAGCTTTCTCATCAATAGTTCTGAAACCACACACATTAACTTCTCTAGCCTTCAGTTGCTATACCACTATGATTCTTTCCAACTACAAAATCCTAGGAAACTGTGCTGTCCTCTCATTTTCTGGCACACTCTCATCCATTGCTGCAGTCACTGTGTCAATCCATGTGGTTGAGGATCTTCCTCTTCTTTGCTGTCCCTCCACCTTCCCAAGCATGATGTCCCTCTCCAAAGAGGAGCCTCTCTTAGCAACATGTTCAAAGATCTTCCTAAACTAGACACTAAAGAAATTAACCACAGCTAATGAACCTCCGGTCTAACAGCATAGATCAGAAGACTAACTTGGAGCAAATCACTTTCTCCTTCAACTTAAGTTTTCTCGCTTATAAAATGGTGGGAGCTTGGTTTCCACGTGTTCTGGTTTCAAATAGGCAAAATGATGGTGTGGATTAAATTATATGCTCCCAGAATATGTACTGGAGCTCTTCCAGCCTCTTTGGTCTCAACCACAGAATGACGATGAGAAGGGAACATCATCTTTTGGAAAGTGTCATGATAAGACACACACATTGGAACACTGCTGTGACTCTAAGGTTACCGTCTTCAGAAGTCAGTCTGTGGCATATGTGGTACCCTGCCAAAGACAAGAGAAAGTACAACTAGAATACTAGAGTTGTTGTTGTTGCTCTGTGCCATCGAGTCCCTGTGACTAATAGCGACCCTATGTACAAGAGCTCTAAACGCCGTTCTATCCTGTGCCAACCTAGCCATCTCAAATGCACTCATTCCCACCACTCCAGTCACAGAATCGATCCATCTCCTAGAGGGTCTTCCTTTCCTGCGCCATCCCTCCACTCTCCCAAACGATGTTCCTCTCCAAGGACCAGTCCCTCCTTGCAACATGCCCAAAGGATGTCAGACAAAGCTTCAGAATCCTTGACTCCAAGGAGCATTCCAGCTTCACCTTCTCCAGGACAAACCTGTTTGTTCTCCTAACAGTCCATGGTACATTCAACACTCTTCTCCAAAGTTAAAAGATGAAATATCCCTTGTAATGGTCCTATGAGACACCTAAATTTTGTTCAGGGCAGAGTCAAGTATGGATTTCATAAAGTAACAATTATGTTTAATCCCAAAAGGGCAATTGTTGCAGCATGCAGTTCATCCTAACAATCCCAACATTTAGATGTACAATAAATGTTGCTTGTTATTGTTGTTATGTGCCGTCACATTGCTTACAACTCACAGCGACCCTACATACAAGATCCTTAAATCCTGTTCTATCCTGTGCCAGCCTCTCTGTTTCTGACACACCTATTCCCATTAATCAAATCACTGATTCGATCCAGCTCACCAGCGGTCTTCCTCTCCTGCTCTGTCCCCCCACTCTCCCAAATATGACGTCCCTCTCCAATGACTGGTCACTCCTTGCAACATGTTCAAAATATGTCAGATGAAGCTTCAGAATCCTTGCCTCCAAAGAGCAGCCTGGTTTCACCCTCTCCAGGACAAACTTGTTTGTTCTCCTAACAGTCCATGGGTTAGGGAATTAAAAGTAGGCACTCGAATTCTTAATTAATTCTATAATTCCATTTGGGAATAGAGTTTTCATGATTGTAATAGTGAGACCATATCAGTGTACAGCATGATTTAAACCTGTCAGTGTTGAAATACGAAAAGAGCATTGGAGGCACAGAGAAGAAGGCACATGTCACAAAGTGGTTGCCAAGAAATAAAGGGATGCCTAAGCCTACTGAAGTTTAAAGATCCTAATCTAGTCTCCCTCGCTGAGCCCAGCTCCACTGCCTCCAGCTCAGTTCCTTTCACATACCAAGCTCTTTGCCCTCTGTTTACAGGTTCTCTTCTCTCAGCCAGAAACTGTCTCCTCTAGGTCCTTGTGTGTAAGCGTCTTCTAGTCGGTTAACCTTCCGCTTAAATGCCAACCCTTCAAAGCAGCTGAACTTGCCCACTCATCATTCTATTTCTAGAATTTTCTTTCCTCACTATTGCTGTTTATCACTGAAGCTTTCTTTTTTATTTTTTTTTTTTTTGCCTGTTGTCTAGACCAGAGCCTAACAAAAAAAGAATAGTGCTCAGTAGATAATTTGTCAAATGGAAGGATGGACAATTGCCAGAGCCTTAAAATATGTAATACTCCTGTCCATCTGTCTGTGAAACATACGAAGTCCCTGAGTGGTACAAATGGCTAAGGAGGTTGGCTGCCAACCAGAGAGATGGAGGTTCAAATCTTATTTGTGGTAAGTCAGAAGAAAGAGTGGGCAATCTCCTAAGAAGCTAGCCACTGAGAACCCTGTGAAGTGACACACATGGGCTTGCCCTCAGTAGGAACTGGTTTGAAGGCAACTAGGTTTCTTGCACATAAATTACCATATAAGCATCTGTTTTAATTTAGCATCTTCATTTTGATAGTTATTATGAACAAAGAATTCTGCCTGTAGCATGCAAAT